CAGTACCTAACCTTACTAATACTCTTGTGGCTGAAAGCAATCAAAACCTCACAACAATGTTTTAACATCTAGGGTTAAGGCTAGAGTAGAGACTTAGACTCTAGAGTAGAGACTCTAGCAAAAGCGGGAAGAAACTCCCTCTTAATACCCTTGAAACACTGGAGTCAGGTCAAGTGGTCTTTATTGAGGAGATAGAGTCTGTTCAAAACATGCTTACTCACATTCTACAACAGTGCTGCAATAGACTCAATAGTGACATTTATGGTTTAAATAACAGGAAATATCCTTTATGATAATGTACCTCGAAGGGAAGAGGAACAAATGCTTTGGTGTGGATGTTTGGGGGAGGAAGGCAGATTGCATCTGTTTTGTGCTGAATGGAGATAGAATCCATGTTTTTTTTTACAATTTTCTTCAATGACTGAGGTAAGAGTTACACTAATGCTAGGTTGGTTGTATTTATTAGCCTGTAGTTCAGTGGCTAGCCTGGCAGTCAGGACTTGTTGACACCACAAGGATTCCCAATGGTTATATGATGTATTTGCGTAATGCATGCTGGGTATTGTAGTGAGGGAACATTGATGAACGATGAACAAACCAATGAGGCTGAGGGTGCTCCGATACAGAGTACTAATGAAACATGACTTTTAAAAGTTATTAAACTATTTTTTTGGCCACAATCCTCCTTCAGGAACTTGACATGGTTTGAGGTAAACGTGTGATGATATAGGCATGCATGTAGCACAGTGCTAACTGGTAGAGTGGCTTCCATTGTGCATTAGCTAAAAACATGTCTGGGCTGGTCAACTATGTTTAAAGTAAGAGGGGAAAATGTGTAAATTAGAATTTTTGCTAAACCATTGCTTCAAAGGGGGAATTTTATTGACAGAATGTCTGCATAATTCAGTGGCTGAGATGGAAACATAGTGGTTTAATGTGAAGCGGCTCACTGTAGAGAAACTTACCGATTCAAATTTCTTTGCAGGGGTGGTGATATAGCACAAATAAAGCCATTTATTTTGCCAAAATAACCAGTGAACCTGTATGTATCTTTAGACTTTTTATATGTAAAGCTGAAAATGATAAAATAGTGACAAATCTGATAATAAAATAAATGACTATATAACCTTATAACACCCTACATATACCTCTCCACCATGAATGGATAAAAAAAAAAACTATTGTAAAACAAAGCCTCAGGCATCAGTCAGCATATTTATAACCATTTCATGTAATAACTTACATGAAAACTTTTAGAAGCACCACTGCTCTAACATTTCACATCATACCGCTCTTTATGACTTTGTTGACATCTTGGCCATTTAATGATGCATACATTTTGAAAAAAATATGGAATTACTCTTTAATGTAATTCATCCTCCATAACTTGTGCATTTTTTTTATCTATGTTAATTAGAACTACTTCATCTGAACATAACCTGTCAAAAGTTTATTGAAAATAAGACAAAAAAGTAGTGACCTTGCATGCTCACCAACACAGACACACCTTTGTACATTTGAGATTATGTCACAAAAACCTAGATTACACACAAATTAAAAAGCTTCACTCTTAGTACTCATATTAATATGGTCCTGATTAATCATCGTTCATCTAGTTCAGTAATCAGCAAAAGTGTTGGTCATTTGACTTACATAAACACTGCTAGACTGACTTGCGCTAATGGCATGTGGTGTGGAGGTGATTCCATTACTTAAGCCCTTACATAACCAGCACTCCAAACCTACTCCAAACACCAGACCTCAGTGCACAACACCTGCTGGTTGTGCTAACACTGGGATGCAGTTACAGCAGTCCTGACCGCCTGTGTCCTAAAGTCACTGGACAAGAACCGTGAAGCTTTGCAGCTTGCAATATTACCGTATACACGATAGCACATAGACAGAGTAAAATGACTCAGTCGTAGCAGTACATGCTCTGCATCCCATATGTCAAACACAAGGCCCGAGAGTCACATCAGGCTCGCGACACGATCCTATTAGGGCCTCGAAATTATTAAATTTTTTTAATAATATTAGCCCGTTTCACAATGCGCTGTACTACAATTCCCAGCATGCACTGCAATGTGTTATGCGCTTCCACCTCCCTCTCGCTACAACAGTCTATGGGACTTAATAAATAGATATCAATAAAAAGATATCAGGTGTCTAGTTCACGCAAAAAGATAAATTTAAAAGACATAGCTCCTTAGGACATTTTCAAAAATATTTTAACTATTGTAATGCTTTGTAAAAATTGTAATATTACTCATATAATATTTCAACTACAAGTGCCTATATTTTTTCTGTTAACGTTTTGCCGACCAGTTCAGGTTATAACAAAATGTTATTTAAAAATGAACTAAAACATGGGGGATTTGTTGACATTTTAAACTGGTCCTTTTAGTGGCCATAGAGTGCATGTACTGTAACGTACTATCTTACAGACTTACTTATCCCTTTAATACTTTGTCTTAGTGCGCCCTCTAGTGGTACAATGCAGCTTTAAATGCTCTGTGTTCAACAGTTACAGAAAGGCACAAAAAAGCAATGAAGAATGTCAGTACTGTTTGAGCTCTATTTTACTCTGTTTCTTCTTCTTCTTTACAGTTCTCTGGTGGTGGGGAAGTACAAGTCCACAGTTTATTCAGGAATTCTGCATAATTCAGTAGTTGAGATGTAAACAAAGTTATTCAGAGTGATTTGATGTAAAATGGTTCATTGTAGAGAAACTTACCAACTCAGACTGCTTTACAGTGGTGGTGATAGGAACCAGGGGTAGTGATGTCTACAACACAAATATAACCATTTTATTTACTATCCAAAATGTCCAGTTAATTTACATGTGTCTTGTGAGTTTTGTATTTGTAATGATGCTAATGGTAAAATTGTGGTAAATCTGAAAAAACAAGTTTGCTTTGGGGACTAGTTTATCTTACAACCAGGGCGAGATTAAGATCCTTTGGTGCTCCTGGACAGTAACACTACAGTGCCCTATCCCTATAAACCCACTGATAATAACATTTTAATAATAATTAATAATGAATATTATTGCTGAAAAGGTCTTAGGATGGTTTTGCTGAAGATCAGTTGGTTATTATGCCATTAAGAGGGCATCAGTTCACAAATCATTAATATCATAATGCACGTCATATAAGATGCCACACTGAAAACCGTTCCACAGACGTCACTGTACCCAATTCAAACAGAAATAATGCTTTTTGGATATTTTTGGCTGTATTATTGAATTTGCTTTGGTGATGTGGGAATACACTTTAGGCCAAAATGTTCTCTCAGAACTATTGTAAAACAATGCCTCAGGCATCAGGCAACATATTAATATTCATAACCATTTCTTTTTGTGAGGTAGTTTTCAGAGGCATGTCAGATGTCTGGTTCCTATCACCGCCACTGTGAACAATTCTGACTCTGTAAGTTTCTCTAGAACAGAGCATTTCACACCAAACCTCTTTGAATGGCTAAATAAAAATCATGCATGGCCACAGCTCATAGTAATGTGTAAGAATCCCTGATTGCATTGGTAAGCATTATTTTTATTAAGAAAGGACGCCCTAGCTGGGCTCTGTAACTTGATTACTATTCCTTAACATTATTTTGGAAGATCTGTACTTGAGTAAGTAATTTTTTACATATAAAAATAGTTTTAAAATCCTGTGCATTTGAATGTATTGTTTTTATTAAAACATCAAACTAATCTCACATCATTGTAAAATATAACTGCCAACAACTAATTCTATTTGTCTTGTGTGCAACGACCAGTACCACTGCACCACATCCCACCAAACAAAGAACTTTTAATTTATCTTTTAAAACAGTTACTCTTTTACGTTTCAAAGGAAATAGTTTCCTTTATTGCGGTACTTTGGTGGTATTTTTGACTCCATCTTTCTTTGTTTTTTTATATCCTTTACAGGTGGTTATTTTCCACGAAGCAAATGATGTAAAATGGAAGAGTGTTAGAGTGAATAAGTGAAACCTGGAGTCTGTATAGGTCAGCAAAAATGAAGTGCAAAAAAAAGCACAGGGGAGAAACTACACTGCTAGAAAAACCAGCACAGACCAGCAAATGTTGAGTTTTGGATGCTGGTATGCCAGTCAACCAGCATGACCATGTTGGGTGACCAGCTAAACCAGCACCAGATCAGCATAAACCTGCTTAGACCAGCATGGAATGCATGCTGGTCTGTGCTGTTTTTTCCAGCAGGGTATAGACTTAAATAACCCTAAAATACTAAACATTAGACCAAATGCTAACATGTTCACAACAACAGTTCTAATCAAATCTTGTTAAACCTTCTAACAGTGCATGCCACTTTTAGCTTTGCTTCTCCAAACTGTGGCCTGGTTGTCCATTGGGAGTTATTCTGAGAGAAAAACAGTGTCCTCTGTGGCACCATATCAGTTTACTGCATCCCCTGCATGATCTCCAGCAAAGTCTTCTATCAACATTCTGCAGTCATGTCCTTTACTCTGATCATTAATGACTGAACAGAGATATGAACGTGTAGATGTGGCTTGACTGGAAATTGCATTTCCTAAAATGTGCCACATTTTTCTCAGATTGCAGTGCTGGTAATCTTTAATAGACTTGCTTTTATTATTTCTGACACTATATTATATAACATAAGCAGTAGAAAAAATACTGTATATACAACACTAAGCCTGGTATGTGTCATGCAAGACGATAACTGAACTCAGTAAGACAACATTAAATATTTTATTTTTCAAATAAAAATACTCAAGAAGTAAAAATCCTTAAAAAATGCATCATTTGTAACTAGTAAGTAAAACAAATGCAACATACAAAAATTTTATTGTATACAATATAAGTATTCTTTTCTAGTCTAAAATAAAATCAAATGGAGTATAATTATAAACATAATAATACAGGGAGATTCACTCGAAAGAGGCCCTGAATATTTTGTAATAACTCTTACTAGGACGAAGCAATCTGAACAAAACAACGTTCAATGTGCTCCTCAGTATATGGAGCTTTGAACAAGTTGGGATGCCCCTGCGTCAAAGCGATAAGGTAGGCACTGGGCAGCCGTTGCAACATTTAACCTCCATTTGCAACTCCCAGGTGCATACCTCCGTGCCCCTTCATGTGTCTGGCAGGAAAACGGATATCACTTCCAGCATCGCATGTAATGCAATCGATTACACATACGTCAAGGTATGTAGCATATTTTTTTTGGTTCAGATTGTTTCATCCTAATGGGAGTTAAAACAGAATGTTTGGGGCCTATTTTGAGTGAATCTCCCTGTATGAAAATAATAATAATCTAAATTGAAAAAATAGTATATAATAATATTATCAACAATATATACACAACAGTTAGTTCAGGCGACACAACCTGACTAGCCAAAAAATGTTGCTGTTATATCTGATAACAGCATGTTTTCCCACCATACCTGTATCATTTTGCTGACCAATGGTCAGTAAGTAACAATAACAGTGTCTTTACTTCAAAATGCTGGGCCTGCCTTTTTTGGCAGAAGAAACTGTCAATATGAAACATATATTTGGGGTGTCTTGGTGTCTCTTGTTTTCTTTTCTTTCTAAAACAATTGTATAAAAGCAATACAACGCTTCCCATCAAGCTGCAGCTGTGACCAAATCACAGCCTTGGTGATATTCATGATAACATACTGCTTCTCGTGTTCTTGAGTTGCTTAAATACACATTTCAAACACCTTTTTGATGAGTTGAAACTTTTCAATCAGCACTGCACATCTGCAGCACACCTTACTGCACATCTACAGTGATCTTCCTCTGGCTTATAGAAAAGAGAGTATCTTTCCAAAAGCCTGAATGCATAGCGTGTGTGTGAGAGTTTGTTTGTGGGTTCTTCTGAATGTGCACGCTGACAGAGCGGAGGATGTTCATGCTCCGGGCAGTCTTCCCCATGATCCTGAAGAGAAAAAACAGAGAAACTGTGAAGCACTGCAGAATTCTGGATTTTGCTCTAAATCTCCTCCTACGCAGAGTCTCATGCAGTGGCAATAAAGTGCAGACACGAAAACTCATGAGGAATGAAAAAGTTGAGAAGGGGGGCAAGTGCTCTCGTACAGATAATATGGAAATTCTAGTGCATTCTGGTGCAATCAGAGACTAAAACAGAGAGGTAGGTGCTATGGAATTATTTTGTTCATTGACTTTACCATTTCCAAACCTTGAACCACCTTCTAGACATTTTGATGCATTGAAAAATGAGCACTACATCGATGGGTTGGCTGGATAATGACTATGAACTGATGCTGTGCTGTGTTTAGGGGGAGAGGAAGGATTCTCACTCAAGCTTTAATACCTGCTAGATGTTACAACAGTAGTATAATATATATGCAGATGCCAAAAAGGACTTGATGAGATAATCACCTTCAATAGATGCTTATTTTTAAGGATCCATTTTTGTTTGAAAGTTTAAGAACCGCCACATAATATCAAGGCTTTGTACCATGTTGTTCCCTCTAGAACAATACATCCAAAGCAAGAACCATTTAGGAATCTTTATTTTTAGGATTTTAGGTTTACAGCTACAGACTGTAGCCCATCTGTTGTCATGCATAATTTGTCAGCTCTCTTCTACACTACCCATCATTGCTAAGTTTCTGACCACAAAAGTGCTGTTGAGCAAGTTTTATTTGTATGACAGACCATTTCATTCTCGCGAGAGAGTCCAAAATAAAAGGCATATGATCCTACGGGGCTTTTGAGCAAAACTGGCATTTGTAAATGGGAAATAATATATAGACATACAGCATAAAATGTGTCTCTATAGCATAAATGTTTCGACACTGTTACTCCAGTACAGGGGCGTCCCTAGGCCAGTTGTAAATATTATGTAGTCCACGCCCCCAAATGAATGTACATCGTTAGTTCAAATCATCGACAGTATTTTGCATTTATTCTTCATTATCAAACTGTGCTATTGTGTCTCCAAATTCACAATATATACTGTGATAGCGTGGGGGTTGCTGCTGCTGCTCTAATCCACAGAAGACTCGGTGGTGCCTCCAGAGATTTTCTAACATAACAAAAGATGACAATCGTCCTCTGTTTGGCATTGGGGAAACCTAGAACATTAGTTCAGCCAATCGTATCAGACATCGTAAGTTGTAAGCCAATTATTTCAAACCTTGTAATTTATAAGCCAATCATTCTTCTCTCGAATACCACTGGATCCTCCGAATTATGATGTCGTTAAAGAGTTGAAATATGAATATTGCTAAAGGTGAGCTAAAGCTACTGCACATTGAATTGACATCATTAGACTGGCCGCCTCCTTAAGCAGGTACAGATCTGTCGGTATAGATCTGTCCTTTTACCTTGATTTGAAAAGATCTACAAACGTACCTTTTCTTTGATAAGAAGCCCATCAAAATATCCCACCCAGAGGTTTTATTTACAGGTATACTTGTAATTATGCGCTACAGTAGAACATTTCGATAAGGTAGCACAGCTCGTCAGAGCACCATCACAGCCCGCCTTAGTTTCGTGTAGCTTAGTGACATCAAATTGATGCGCAGTAATGGTAGCTTTAGCTCCCATGTGGCAATATTTGTATTATAGCTCTTTAACGACCTCGTAATTCGGAGGATCCAGTGGTATTTGGAAGAAAAATGTACACAGGACAAAACGTATCGGGTTCTGAACATTTTTATTTAACACAGGGGGCGATAGAGGCGATTTTTCGAAAACCCTATTCATTCTGGACATAGAGAAATGGAGCTTAGACCCGGAGTTCCTAATATGGACATAACGAGGACTACAGAATGACGCACGACTACAGTGGTCCATTATATCAGAGCCATGCTACTACACCAGAGGGCACCTGCGAGTGAGTACCCAACAAATAGGAACTAAATGGCTAAAAATGAAACTTTAAAATAGTTTCGAATCACTTGCCCAAAACTTTCCTTTAGAAAGTAGACGTTTGTATTTCACCTTGTATTTGTATTTTGTATTTTAAAAATATAACAAGGTGTCAAAATGTTTTTGCTGCTCTGTGTTCAGGAAATGATTCTGGTATTCTTTTATATTAAAAGTCTTTAAGCATTTATAAACCACCCTCTAGCATATGAGAAACCCGGAGGACATTACAGAGTTGTAAGTCCCCTCTCTACAATATACAATATAAGTTATATATTGTTTTTACTTCATATAGCTAATTCTGTTGATGTGTTGATGATAATGCATGTTTATACATAATCTCTCAGTCTGTAGATGATAATTAAAAGGGGGCAGGTCAGTAACCTACCAGTCAGGTGAAAACATTTTTGCCAGTTTAAAAAAAAGAACTCATTTGTCTTTTAGGTCTTGTAAATCTGAGTTCAATTAAACATTAACATGTTACTAAATCAATTACATGTTACTAAACAGGCAAGGAGTGAGAGAAAACCAAGCTGAAGAAGTAAGTCTGATAAAGGGTTGTGATCAAGAACAATACAAGTGAGTGTGGTTTAAGCTTTCAGTTAATTATTACTGAATCTGAATCTGAAATGTTATTCCCTGAATATATCCAAATTTGTGAGACTAGAGAAAATATTATTTTTGTGCTGTCAAATCACACTCTTATCTGGTTGCATAACTTGAACCTATACCAATCTGTAATCTGTGTATTTGAATAACATATTTAGGACCTGCATCTTATCTAAGAGGGGAGATACCACTGTCTGACTTCAATACCTTTCTTTTATCTGTGTAGGTGGACAGATGTAGTATTTAAGGCGTAAAAGATCTTTGCATAATGCACTGTACACACACTAAAAAATAAATCCTCCTGGGGGAGCAGGACCCCCCTAGTAAAGGTTTAGCCTATCCATAAATCTCGCCCCTGCTCCAGCAACAGTCCCCTTTTATATCGATTGTCAGTGAGTGCGAAACACTTTTCTTAGCCAATGAACGAGTCAGCTCGTGAACTAAGCCCTCTGTACATTAACACTGGCGTCCTACTGCTCAACACCTGTTTGCTATGGCAAAATGTAAGGATATTGGTAAGGTTTAATTGATTTTTAGTGTAATGCATTCATTTATGGTCTCAAAATTAAAGGAAATTCCCATGTGAATGACTAAAAACAAAATTAGCATTTTTAGATGTTTAGCTCCATTCACTCACTTTCATTGAATACTCTAGCGTTTTGAGTGGGCAGGCTGCCCCTAGTGAATCTGGCATGGTAGTGGTGTCGCTGCTTGGTGGAAAGTGGTTCACTGCCTAAAAATATCCAGCCAAAAGTGTGGGATGAAACTCATCACTGATGAAATTGTCTGCAGTAGCAGTCGCAGTCTGTATACCACCAAAGTTAGCTAACAAGCTAGCTAAGTATTTCTAATAACGTGGCTGGTGAATACACACCCCACGTTTCCTTAAAATATATCAAAATAAACAAAAACAAAAAAAATAGGCTTTAATTTGGATAAACTCTACTGTTACGTGGAATGTTATTTTATAGAAACCAGAAGTAAGATAGGAGTAAGTAAGTCGGCTGGTGTGCAAATCTGTCAGTGTATAACCATCAATTCGCCATTTAAAGCTTAAGAATTAGGCCTAACTGTGTATTCACAACATAACTGAAATATATTGAGGGGGCTCTAATATTATCATTTGTCTTTCTGTAGTTTCATGCATCATCCTGCTTTAGTTATCTTTAGCCTCACTCCATGCGGGTGCGTTACAGTTAGTTTTTGTGGATCTTCATAGACTGTGTGAAACGTCAGTGAAAATATATATCGGTGGGGTTTCATAAACTATTCCTAACATTTACAAACATATAACAAGTTACTGGCACTGTGTCTATACTTGTCTCAAAAACATACAAGTGTAATTAAACAATTAATGAGCTAATGCAAGATATAATGGTCTAGCATGCGCTGGCTAGTAAGCTAGCTAATGTTTGATAACCTTAAACTTTTTTCTTTTGAGCTTATAAAGACTAATTTGACCTTATAAAGAGCCCCTGTTTAGTTTGGTTACCCCTGGCTTGGTTTCATAACAAAGCTTTGAAGAACTGAATCTGAAGATTTTGGTTCTTGTAGGAACCAGTTATGGATCCAGAAGAACCTTTTAAGCAAAAGTTCTACAAACAACAATTTTTGAAAAAGAAGAATCCTTAGGAGTTCTTTTAAGAACTTTTTAAGAGGTGTCTGTGGAAAGAAAAATGCAGCACCAGCTAAAAAGAGTTCTTTAAAGAACCATCCATTGAGAGATTCTATAGGAAATTAAAGGTGTTTCTTCATTGCTCCAAACAACCCTTTTTGGTATTGCTTGGGAACTGTCTAAACATTGACCCTATCATCAGGAGACTGTGGGTTCGATCCCCAGTAATGCTACATCTATCTGGGGTGAGGAGTCCTATAGAGCACAATTAGCCTCTGTCTGTCTGGGTGGGACGGATAGTCCTCACTCTCCCCTATCATTCAGCACAGTGCTAGCCAGCGCAGGCGTCTGTTAGCAGACACAACAAAACTGGCAGTTAGCAAACTCCTCCAAGTACATTCAGCTGTCCTGTGACATTGTGTTAGCGGCAGCTCAAGTTAGATGAGTCAGAGGAAGCTTGTGTTTGTCTTCGCTTGGTATCATGTGACTGGGGAGGCCTAACTGGTGGGTGGAATTGGATACAACAAAATTGTGGAGAAAATTGGGGAAAAACTTTCTTACCAGGGATGTTTTAGAGCTTGCTCTGTTGTGTAGCGCAGCTCAGGGTCCTTCTGTATCAGGTTACGAACAAAATCTTTTGCTAAAAATGTGACACATAAAGTTATCATTAAATGACTTGAATGAAATGGTTGACTTGTTAGAACTGAATTGCATCCACACACTAAAGGATGATATGCAAGGTTGCTGAGTCTGTACACAGATTGGAGAGAAGGCAGAACTCTTACCAGACTCTGAGATGTCATCCCAGAAGGGAGAGTCAAACTCATACTCTGCTTTCTTGATCTTAGAGAAAAGAAGACTCTCACTCTCTTCATAGAAAGGGGGATATCCACAAAGACTGCAGCGACAAATCATACATCATGTTTTTCATTCTCCACACTTCAAAACATAATGAATGCTTCAGAATGCTCACAAAACACTCAGGGAGAACATTTAAATATGAGTAATATAAAAAATTCTGAGATTACAAAGACATTTTGGTGGACCCCTTGAGGAAAAATACATTTCTACACAAAAAATGCATTTTGCTTTGGTTGCTGAGGGTGAGTTTTCTGTTAGGGATGCACACAGTATTGGCCGATGCTGAGTACCAATACTAACTCTGTCTATCCTAAATAGCTTATAAATCCTTATTTATACAGCTCCACTTTTTTGCATAATAAAATATATCAAGCTTGAATGATGATTTTATATATATATCAGGCTTCTTTCAGTATTCCCTCTTCAACCACTGTGTAACCAGTGTGTTACAGTTAATGTTAGTCCAGGTTGTTATTGAGGGAGTGAACATTAGTCATATGGAAATATATATATGCAGTCAGAACTGAGAGCTTTCTCTTCTAAGAAAGCTGTGGCGACACTGGGATTTGAACTCATGACCTACTGATGATAAGGAAGCCAGACAGTTGAGATCCACACTCTGGAGCCACAAATTTGCTTAAATTGGTCCAAAAAGACTAGAAAATGTGAATTAATTCAGAGCACTCAAGATCCTTTTGCTCTGACAACTGCCTGTGCTTAAATAAAGGACAGTTACCTGTGCTTAGATGAATTTGCTCAAAAAGAAGAGTGTCAAAAATCACTCCTTATTTGATGTTATTAAACCTTTTGTTACCATTTCATTTTTTTTTCCCCATAATATCGTGATTCGACTAAGTGCTTATCAGGAGATCATGAGTTTGAATCTCAGTGACTTTGCAGCTCTCTTTCATGAGCAGCCTGAGAGGAAAAAGCACTCAGCTTTTATTCCCCCAACCTAGGGGCACTATTTGATTTGGGAGAGATCTAGCCTGCAGGTGGAAATCATCAGTGAACAAACTGGAGGGAGTGGGAAAAATTTAAGCAATTTCAGCTTATAACAAGGACACCACATTCACTTTTTTTTACCTGAGACAAAAGTTAGGAGGCCTTTTAAATAAATTAAGCTTTGGTCAAGTTGGGAACTCAGAAAAGCTCCTCAGGTGGTTGCCTTAGAGGGGACTTTAAAAAAATGACACTTAGAGACACTGACTTTAAAAAAAATATATAATCATGACCAATGGTTACTGTCACTACCACTGTAAAGAAATCCATGCAGTGCAAACTTCAAACCACTCTGGATGACTTTGAATTGTGCAGAAATACTGAGAAATTGGTGAAATTCTCCATTCCCCAAATTTAAAGTGGACCTGGCTAATTTAACAGTATACAAGAGGTAGCATGTATGTGGGTGGTACCTAAGTCCATGTGTGTGTTTACAGCCACTAGGGGGAACCTATTCACTGACTACACTGTCACTGCGACAACAACATGGATTAAGCTGACTACTGAGTGATTAAAGTGACTAATGCTCGGAAGTCTATTTCCAAATCCTATCAGACCCTTTTGTTTTGATGTATGGCTCTTCTTAGATGCCCGTTGGTAGTCATCAATGTTGACTTTTATGCAATATGTGTGCAATAGGTGTGTGGCAGATGGTGCAATGGAGGTTGCTATAGGATCGCTTAAGTCAGCAGTAGCAAGAGTCCTCACAGGATGTAAGTGATGACTCCAATAGACCAGCAGTCCACTGCTTTACTGTAGGGCTTTTGACCCAACACTTCAGGAGCTGTAGGCAAAGAAACACCATTATTTCATTGAAATGGATTCCAATTAAGTTGTATTCCACAAAAGTCAATATATTGCTGGAGTGCAGGTCTGTTTATAAGTAATCAAATGTCGTAAGGTTGATCTCGCTGATCTCTTTCAAAGCCCTCACCCAGGCCTCCTTACCCACATAGCCAGGAGTTCCACAGGTTGTAGACATTATGCCATTGTCCTCTATCTTGGAAAGACCGAAGTCACTGATCATTATCTTGGAATTGTCATCTTGGCTGTAATAAAGCAAGTTCTCTAGCTGTGGGGAAAAAAAGAAAGATTTTCAACCTTTTGATCCATGTATGTGTGCATGTACGTGTTGACCTTCGTGTGCTCCATACCTTCAGATCACGGTGTACTATCCCATTCTTATGCAGGTAATTGACTCCCTCCAAAACTTGTCTGATCACCAGACTAGCATCCTTCTCTGAGAACATGCCCTGGTTCAAGAGCCGGTCGAACAGCTCACCACCTGAAACTCTACAAGGTAAGAATAAAGAAGAAAAACTAAAACATCACAATTACAAGAGAAGGTTCAGTGCATTGTAAAGCACACAAAAATAATGAGGTATATATTTAATTCCTTAAAAAGATCTGAATGGTGATGTGGGTTTGTTGAAACAGTAGCCATTTCCGAATTACGCATTTTACACACAACAATGAGAGTAAGAATAATCATCAGTGTACTTGTACAAACTAGTAGTTAAGGAGTTAAGCTGTGCACATGCATGCTATGTGCTTGACTTTATAGTGGTTAAGTGCACAGTTCAAGCTGCCTCCAGGGAAAGGCTCCACTCTTAGCACTACATTACTGCTAGTCTGTTGTTGTATGTGTGCTGTAATTTGACCCATCAGCACAGCTCTGAATGATGTATTTATCATGGAAATTCATATCATGAAAAAGATAAAAAAAAATATGATATCTGTGCAGCCCTCTTTTTGGAGTCTAAATTGAACCTGTTAACCAATGTTTTTTCATAATATCAGTACAGTGCAAGATACCTACAGTTGCATGACAAGGTAGTAATGGGTGTGACTTTCATAGAAATCTTCCAAAGCCACAATGTTCTCATGTTTGATCCTAAAAAAGACAAAATGGAGAGGTAAACATATTGTAATGTTATATATTACAGCCCTTAATCAGCTGCATTATAATTAGAGATGGCATATTGTTATCGATAAGCATCAGTATCTGTGCAATATCAGCAGAAAATGCTGGATTAGATATCAGTGGGGGAAAAGAATGAATCCAATCCTGTGACAAATCTAGCCTCAAGGTTTAAGGTATTGGTATCAGTAAAGAAAATGCGGTTTCATGTCATCTCTAATAAGAACTTTCACCTCTTCAGAACTGCAATTTCATTCTCCAAGCTGGTATTTCTGTTCTTCTTTACCACACACTTCATGGCATACTTTTTTCCTGTCTTTATCTCCTTTACCATGAAGACTTCAGAAGACGCTCCCCTAGAAAGAGAGAGAGTGAGAGAGAGAGTTGATTAAGGTAGCATAAGTTTACATGCATAAAACTGGAGAGTTTACCTTGTACTGCAGACATCCTAAATCAGACAATCCATTAAGTTTATTTATACCAATATCATTCAGACAAAAGCCTCAGTAATGTAAGGAAACTCTCACTATGATGTTCTCTAAACAACTCATACAAACACGTTAATCGCTAATAGAAACTACTAATTTATACCAGTCTAAGAAGTAAGATACTGTTATATACTAATGTCTGCCTCACTCATGTTAGCAACAGTAAATATGTTAACAGCTATGGTCAGTGTTCATTCAGATTCTCTGTAGCTTATGACACAGCTCTTCTCAACTGGGGAGCTGGGCTCAATGCGGTGATGCATATTCCTGTCTGCCAGACTGATTAAGACTCTCAGACTGACTGAGTGCGTGTCATAGTCTAAACCTTGTCTAACCTGAAGACTCTTGTTATTCAGTGAGGAGTGACACTTCATTCACGTTCAAAAAGAAATCAAGGTTATCAGACAGTGAATAAAAACACCCATGGTGTATCTCTAAAAAGTATAAACGATGATATATTGTTTATACACATATACAGTAATATTGACATACCATAATCTTGCTTTTCACTTTTAGCATTTTTGCTAAATAATGAACTTGTATCCATGATGATCTGTAAGCTTATTTTATTTATATTTCATATCGTTTTTTTGTAACTTTTTAATTTTTTTTGCTTGTTTGTTTTTTTGCAATTCACATAGTACCCAGACCCTGACGGTTAACTGCAATGTGTCAGTTACTGGGTACTGGGTAATATTTTAGAATAGAAATAGAAACAATAATTGAAAATATGCCATAAAATACCAAAATACTAATAACATCAAATCATGGAACAAACAGTCCAGTCAAAACAAGCTATTTTGTTTATTGTAACTGAAGAAAATAGAACAAAACAGACCAATCAAACACTGTCAGGTTTGCAAAGTATTATTATTAACTTTAATAATGTAAATTTACATATTGTCTGATGCTGTAATATATTTAGAAAAGATAATGATATTGCCAATTTTACTGCATTGCCCAGCACTACTCAAGTTATTATTAGCCTTGAAAAAGGTAGTCTTAAAACACTGGTTTGTTTTTAGGAAACCGTTTTACATTATATACGTTTTTTGAGTGCATGAAGTCCATTTTGATTGTATATGATCAGGCAGCAAGTTCATCTACTGCAGTAGTCAACAACCCTGCTACTGGAGGTCTACCTTTCTGTAGACTTTAGCTCCAACCATAATCAAACCCTCCCTGAAAGTCCTTGTTAGATTTGGGTTGGAGTTGAAACCTGCAGGAAGGTAGATCTCCAGGAGGGCTGGTGACCCCTGATCTACTGGGCATGTAATTCCTAAAGCTTTCTTCACCATGTGAGCCAGTATCAATATGGTGATGCATATTCCTGTCTGCTAGACTGATTAACGCTCTCAGACTGACTGCCCACGCATGTGTCATAGTCTAAACCCTGTCTAACCCTAAAGCTCCCACCATTCATTGAGGAGAGACATAGTTCTGGCAGAATATATAGTTCTCTATTTTACATTACACAGTTCTGGCAGAGTATATAGTTCTATATTTTACATTAAACATAGTTCTGGCAGGGTATATGGTTCTATATTTTACATTACACAGTTCTGGCAGAGTATATAGTTCTATATTTTACATTAGACAGTTTTAGCAGAGCATACTAGAGATCAAGGTTACTAAACAATGAATAATGAATGAATGAAAAATGATCACTAAAAAGGAAGGAACATTAAGAATTTGAAGCACATATTCAGACAGTGTTTCCAAACTGGACAAGATTGAGGCCTAGCCTAGCCTATCCGGGCTTTCAATCTGTAAAAGTAGGCCTCATTCAAATCCCATCATGTGTGTCAGTCGGTCTCTGTCTGCTTTAGAGGTTGAAAATAGGCCAACATTGATCAGCTGTGATAGGAAGAAAATCGGCTGGTGTTGGGACTAGGCATTGTTTACAGTATGGTGCCTCTGAAGTAGGCTAATCTCTGGTCTAGATCCACACTGTTACACTGACCTATACATGCCATGAACGATGTTAAAGAACATATTTTACAAAGCTTAGGTGTACCATCTAGTAACTACACTTTGCAATGTGGATATATTAGTTCATATATGTACACATACATTATGATAGCACAATGCTTGGCTTGATTAACTTAATGATGAGGATGAGGATCTTGGCACTAGAAAACAGTGCTCAACAGGAACAGCTGAAAACTACAGTTTTTGTAAGATTTTAGTCTTTTTTCAGCAGGACAGCAATACTGCAAAGGGTCTTGGGGAAGGAAGAGCATGTTTCAGATTAGGGATGCACAATGATTTTGGAATCATATCAGTATCGGCAGATAACTGCTTTAAAAAATGATCTACACTGGACAGAGTTTTAGATTTGATGGATATTTCAAACCAATATTTTGTCACATATTGTACTTCAGAAGAGCAGAATGTTTAGGCAGTGGTGGGCTAAAATATCTACACTTTATTCATTTAATTGCATTTGTAACACAACAGAAATGTTATATTCCTCTGTAATGCTAATTCAAGTAGATACAGTCCCAATTTCAACACTTTATAAATGTTTATGTATTGGCGTCTGCATTAGCAGATATATACATTAAAGATATCTGATACTAGCTTTGGCCCACAATTCTCATATCGGTGCATTCCTGTTTCAAACACTTCACAGTTCAGTCATTTTATTCTTGCCAATCAGAAGCAAGCTTCTTCAAGTCATTTAGATCTACACTATGCACTTCCCCAACTGTTTTAGATGTTCCTCCAGAATCAGTGATGCTTAATAAAACCTCATGTTTAATCAGCAATTACATAAGATCTTTCCCTTTGTGACTTGTACCACGTCGACAAAACAGTAGTGCTATAGACATTATTGAAGTTTGTTCAGGTGAAACACATAATTTGAGACTTTTACTGTACTGGTCACTCACAGCCCAGCCTTATTGCTAGCCATAGTAAGACCAGGAATAAACTAACCACACATGAACTTCTGTAATTTAGCATCTATAATATTAGTAGTAGTGGCATTGTCATGCAAACCCTACAAAATAAGAAAAAGAAAAAATCAGTGCAAAAAAAGAGAAAAAAACACAATGTACTCACGATCCCAGCACCTCCATGAAGTCAAAAACCTCTCGAATATTATCAATGTTCCTCTTCCAGCAATTGTCAGCTTCTTTGTGACCCATTTCACCACTAGTTTCTGCAAGGACTTCTATTCCACCGTAGAAAAAAAGGTCTTATAACTTACAATTATTCAGTTAAAAATATGAAAAATTATGTTTTCTAACCAGTCCATGTAAGGTTAATTTACAGAGAACAAAACATATCAGTTGTACCTTTGTTGGGAGGCAACAAATTTCCAAATATTCCAGGAGCCATTGGGTTTGTTACACAAAACCGGTCATAAGCAAGTTAAAAGCACTTAGAAGCGGTTTCCACTGTGCTCCCCGCAGGCTTAATGAATGCACGTGTGTAGCCACTCTCTGCTGCGAGGCTTAAAACAAGTGATAAAGGTCAGGCTGCTCCTCACCAGCTAGTTGTCTGTCACTTCTAGGGCACTCGTGACTGACTCGTACCTATGTATGTGTGCTAATACCTCTCCTAGTCACGAGCAGCCAATAAGCAATGACAACAGTCCTTCAGACTAACCTACATTACCTTGACAATTACTAGAAACGTCTCCTAATTCGCTGGTTGGTTGGTTTATAGATAGTAAACACTGGACTGGTTTGGTGCAGAAGAAGATTAAGCCCTTTGGCATCAGGCCAGATCTAATATTTTGAGCTAAACATCTATAGAATAGAAATAGAAATAAAAACAATTTAGAAATATACACAATTGACAGCCACCAATTAATCAATTGATTGATTGATTGATTAAAGACACTTTATATATATGTATTACTTCTAAATATATCTTCTAAGAACAGGACTATATTGTATTACTACATTGTTAATCCTCACTCTTCATATTTAATGATGCGCTTTAAAATGTGCAGTCTTATACAAAGGTTTGTGTGTGTGTGTGTGTGTGTGTGTGTGTGTGTGTATATATACACACATGCATATATATGCCTTATAGCAAATAAATAGAAACTGTATTAAAGACTGTATTTTTAGAATTCCAGAATAGAAAGCTGGGAACATCTGGGATTCTGTAGGAGGATTGATTTAATAGGAAATATTAAATGATTCATGTATTTATATGAATAACAATTTGAAAGCAACTGATGAGATAAGCAGAGTAAGGACATTCTGCCTATTCTTCTCCCATATTCTGGACTTACCTGATTACATTAGTGCGAGAGAAGACTGTGGCCTATTAAATGCAGTCCATTTGAGTGAGGATTGCTTTGTCAGTCATTTTAAAGGGTTTAAACAGTGACAAGTGTTCTACAAGATGCTCTTCACTTACCCTCCGCCCAAAAGCACGTTGTGGCCTCGACAGATTAGCTTGTCGGGAGACGTGCAGCAAGGTTGGAGATTACACATCCTCACAGTGGAAGAGGAGGGGCTAGCGGGAAAAGCACATCAATCACATTTGAATATGCTTAAAACACTGAAAAAGGACTGTGTGCTCCTACAAGATTCACTGACAGTCCAAATGGTAGTCCACAGAGGCCTGGACAGATTATTTGGGTGGCACCTAAATAACCAAGGCTGGAGATGACATTTCCTTGTGATGGAAGACGATTACTGAGCAGCATAAGCACATATACAAGTGTGGCTTTTGGTTAATAAAGTCTCATTGTGTTTGTTGTAACGAAAACAGTCTTAATATTTAACGAATGGATTGTTGTTTTAGTACAACCTTAAACCATTTCTTAACCCTTTGTCCTGACCTGTCTATTCCCTCTTACAGTACTGCACAAAAGTCAGAGACCACACTTCATTTTTAATCAGTCAAAGCAGCCATTAAGCACAAGTTATTTATTTTTGATGAGATGTAAGATAATCCACTTTTAAAAGGGGAAAGACAAAAAAATATAGGGAGAAGAATGGTAGTTTACAAAATTGGAGGTCAACAAATTGATTAAAAAATATAGAAAAATGAGTCTTCTAACAACAATGTAGACCACCCAAACTGTCACCATCAGATAAACAGTGCTTAAAGCTCTTATCTTTTTGAGATTAACATTGTGTGTTTGAATCATGAAAAGCAGAAAATGCAACCAACTTCAAAGACTGAAATTGGTGCAGAAAAACCTCCCTGCACATTTATTTCGAAATCTCAAAACCCAGATCTCTTAGGGCAATAGAAGCTGGCAAAGAACTGCCTAGTAAAATCTTTAAAATATCTAGTATGCATTTTTTGAGGCTTTTGTGCAATTTCCTGTTAAATAGGTTTTCTGCTTTTTTCCTGATGATGGAAAATGAATATCTGTCACAATGTATATGAAAAAGGAAATGACCTTCCTGGCCTTTTGACTGAAAAAAAAAAAAAATGACGAGTTGTCTCTGACTTTTGCACAGTACAGACTTTGTCCTGGTTCCGATCTTATCTGACAGACTGTTATCAATTTGTCAGTGTTAACAATAAACACTCGTATGCTAGTACAATATGGTGTCCCCCAAGGATCAGTGCTTTTCTCTCTGTACATGCAACCTCTTGGTAACCTAATTTGCAGGTTCGGCGTTAGTTTTCACTGCTATGCGGACGACACACAACTTTACATATCTGCTAAATCAAATGAGGCTCTGAATCTAAATAATCTTAAAGAATGTGTTAAAAATATCAAAAGCTGGATGACCAACAATTTCCTTCTTCTTAATCCTAATAGAACTGAGGTCCTACTACTTGGACCCAAATGATAGATCTCAACTCTCCAAATTGAACTAAATTTAGATGGCCATACGGTCATTCCAAGCACTACTGTAAAAAATCTAGGCGTCATTTTCGATTCCAGTCTCTCTTTTGATACAACATTGTTAGAACCGCATTCTTTCACTTGCATAACATTACTAAACAATGCAATATTCTAGCCCTAAACGGTGAGGAAAAGCTGGTGCATGCCTTTATAACTTCCAGGCTGGACTTCTCTAACACCATTTTAGCCGGATGCTCCAATACTTTCCTAAATAAGCTCCAACTGGTCCAGAACGGAGCTGCTAGAGTCCTTACAAGGACCAAAAAATTTGACCATATATCCCCAATCCTGTAATCATTACACTGGCTACCTGTTAAATTTCGTGCAGAGTATGAGATCCTTCTCTTAATATATAAATCATTAAATGGCCTGGCCCCGCAGTATCTTCCCCACATGCATGCTTCGCTCACAAAATAACGGCTTGCTGACAGTTCCTAGAACTAGAAAAACCACAGCAGGCGGTCGAGCATTTTCCTACGTATCCTCAAAATTGTGGAATCATCTCCCGACCTCTATTCGGGACTCAGACACACTCCCATTTAAAACTAGACTCAAAACTGATCTGTTTGCACAAGCATTTTGCTAATATCAGTTGTTGCACTATTAACTCACTAATATCTCTCCATAAACGGACCTGTCTCTCTCTCTCTCGCTCTCCCTCCCTTTGAGCCCCTGAGCGAGTCGCCACATGTGAGCCACCAGAGCTGCTAGAGTCACCAGAGCTCCATCTTTGTTGGCTGATCTGCACCGTTTTGACCACCATAGAGTTTCATCTTGTACAAAGCTGTGCAAACCTCACCTGCATGAACTGACCCTTCTGCTGATGCTGCTGCTGCATAAACTCAAAATATCTAACTAACCATTGCTCCACCTGTTTTCCCCGTTTTATATTCTAATATTTTATACTAATGCTGTTTGCTATCCGGTGTTGACCAGAGGTGGATGGGTTCTCCTTTTGAGTCTTGGTTCCTCTCAAGGTTTCTTCTTCTTGCTCTTAGGGAGTTTTTCCTTGCCACTGTCGCCATTGGCTTCCTCATGGGGGCTTGGACCCAGATTTTTCTGTAAAGCTGCTTTGTGACAACACCTGTTGCAAAAAGCACTATATAAATAAACTTTGACTTGACAACTGTATGTCCCCTGTATGCTACCATTTCAATGTTTGGAATCACTTGGAGTCATTTCAGTCATCGACTACTCTGTTCATTATTCTGTGTACATCTAACACATCTTTTTATTGTAGGTTCTTGCTAGTTATTTGGAGCTGTGAAGTTGCACAGGACTAACATATTTTTATACATTTTTTCTGCAACGAAATTGGTTTTAATTCTATTGTAAATATGAATTCCAAACTTTTAAACAGTGGAGCATATCACTAGGATATAAACCAAATAACACCACCATCAAGTCACGACTTTGGTGAATCATGCCAGGGGAACACATTTGAACCTGGTCCCTGGCAGTAGAGCATTCTCATGTAGCCATGGATTACTGCTGAAATCAGTCATGACTCGTCTTTATGAGATATTCCACTGACTTATAGCCATCTCCCTCTCTTAGCAGTTTTAAATGAGTCAATTTCTCTCTTGAACGATTTTGCTGGCTGGATTCCTCCCTCTCTTTGGCAGGACTTCACACATCTCTGTTTCGTATGTCCTCTCTGCCAGTGGATTAGTCGCCGCCAAATCTAATAGCTCTGAATGACTGTAAATCACCCACAGCTCACAGTTAACCAGGAGGCGGCTGTTAATAAGTTACGTTTTGTAATAAAATTAACAACACAACTATTGAGTGTCTGTCAGCAGAATCAGCATATAAAGTATGTATGCTTGAAGGTTTGGTTTTTGAAGGCCTGAAGATGTCCTATTTTACTGTAATTTAAAATAAGATTTTTTTTGCATTGGGTGCATTGTCTCTAAATTCTTATGGCCCATTCAGATTCCTTTTAGGTCAAATTGGCTGATGGCCAGGCTTATTTTCTTTTTTTTTGAGGCATCAAGTAACAAAGACAAAAACATCAAATGCTAAATATGAATACTAAACACTAAATATGTAACATGTATGCTGATGGATAAGCCTAACACATACACGGACTACAGACAAAGCAGAGCTAACGTAACATTGCAAATCCCATGAGCAATGTTATATTAGCAGTGTTAGTATCCTTATCAAAACATACCACTTTGCAACAGGCTACTTACAAAGTCAAAGATTTTACATTTAGTACAGCGCTATAATAATGTGCATGAATTTATATCATAGATGTAAACCTCTAGATACAGTAACCCTTATAATCACTCATACCTGTAAGACTGCATATTGTTGTTGTTCCATTTAACATGGAACAAAAAATTTTGATAAGAAGCTGGCAAGGAACCCGAGTCTCAGCAGCGTCTCTGAACAGGATTCAAGCAGCTGCTAAGTGCTGATTCTGAATAGCCAAAATAAATAAATAGGACTGTTAATAGCTACTGAATTGCTGATTTTATTTTATTTTTAGTTTTATATAGATGTTGCACTGTTGTTGTCTTCCAAGAAAATGACTTGTGCCAGTTATCCCTTCAAATGAACAAAAAAAGGGAATTACCAATTACTTTTCTAATTCTGTATTGAAAAATATCGCAGCATGACAAAAAAATGAACATATGTATTGCATCATAGTATTTGTGAGTTGTCAAACTCCTTATACCCATATACAATATT